GTGGTTATGGGCTAGATAAGAAAAGAGGTCCAAAAAATGGCCTCTTTTACCTAGTTAAAAAAAAATCCATTTGGGAGAGGAAGACCCTCAGAGTTTCTGAGTAAAACAGAAAAATTGCTATATACATTCACTGAGAGCCATCAGTACCCAAAAAATGACAAAGGTAGGCCAATTAGCAAAAGAGTGATTTGGGTTTAAGGCATGGTTCTTAAAAAAGAAATCCAGCCCATAAACCCCAAGATATCTTTCCAGGTTTCAGCAATCAAAATTTATTGGTAAGGGTATGATTCCATATGTGCACAGAGAGAGAGGAGGGAGAGGAAGGAAGGAGGGAAGGAAGGAAAGTAGGAAGGAAAGAGGGAAAGAAGGAAAGAGGGAAGGAAGGAAGGAAAGTAGAAAGGAAAGAAGGAAGGAGGGAAAGGAAAGAGGGAAGGAAGGAAGGAAAGTAGGAAGGAAGGAGGGAAAGAAGGAGGGAGGGAAGGAAAGAAAGAAAGAAGGAAGGAAGGAAGAAACAAAGGAAGGAACAAAGGGAGGAAGGAAGGAAGGAAAGGAGGGAAAGAAGAAAGCAAGGGAAGAAACAAAGGAAAGAAGAAAGGAACAAAGGAAGGAACGAAAGAAGGAACAAAGGAAGGAAGGAAGGAAAGAGGGAAGGAAGGAAGAAAGGGAAGAAAAGGAAGGAAGGAAGGCAGGAAGGAAGGAAGGAAGAAAGGGAAGAAAAGGAAGGAAGGCAGGAAGGAAGGAAGAAAGGGAAGAAAAGGAAGGAAGGGGGAAGGAAGGGGGAAGGAAAGAAGAAAGGGAAGAAAAGGAAGGAAGGAAGGCAGGAAGGAAGGAAGGAAAGAGGGAAGGAAGGAAGAAAGGGAAGAAAAGGAAGGAAGGAAAGAGGGAAGGAAGAAAGGGAAGAAAAGGAAGGAAGGAAGGAAGAAAGGGAAGAAAAGGAAGGAAGGAAAGAGGGAAGGAAGGAAGAAAGGGAAGAAAAGGAAGGCAGGAAGGAAGGAAGGAGGGAAGGAAGGAAGGAAAGAAAGAAGGAAGAAGGGAGGGAAGGAAGGAAGGAAAGAAGGAAAGAGGGAAGGAAGGAGAGAGGGGAGGGAAGGAAGGAAAGCAGGAAGGAAGGAACAGAGGAAGGAAGAGAGGAGGGAAGGAAGGCAGGAAGGAAGGAAGGAAAGGAAGAAGGGAGGGAAGGAAGGAAAGAAGGAAAGAGGGAAGGAAGGAAAGCAGGAAGGAAGGAGGGAAGGAACAGAGGAAGGAAGAGAGGAGGGAAGGAAGGAAAGAAGGAAGGAAGAGAGGAGGGAAGGAAGGAAAGAAGGAAGGAAGGAGGGAGGGAAGGAAGGAACAAAGGAAAGAAGGAAGGAACAAAGGAAGGAAGGAAGGAAGGAAGGAAAGAAGGAAGGAAGGAAGGAAGGAAGGAAGGAAGGAGGGAGGGAAGGAGGGAGGGAAGGAAGAAAGGGAAGAAAAGGAAGGAAGGAAGGAAGGAGGGAAGGAAGGAAGGAAGGAACAAAGGAAGGAAGAAGGTTGCCCAGCTGGACCTGGCCAGTTGGGTCCCAGTAGGGCAGCTACTGCTACACGGGGGTTGTTTGCCTCATCTTTCTCTTTTTTCCACTTCAAATTTCACTTTTCATGGAAAAGTACTGAGTGAGTCATTGCCTCTGGAACTATCTCCAGAAGATGTCAGGTAAACAAATCCCAAGCCGTGCAGCAGTCGATGTTATTGAGTGTTTGTTTCAGCGCCTGTAGAGAAGGAAGGGAGGGAGAGAGGGAGGGAGGTGTTCTATATATTATAGACAGACAATAATGGGAGAGGAAAGAGGCCTGGGGTGAGTTTCCAGCTCTGTTGCTGCCCTTATAGGACATGGACAAGTCATTGATTACTCTCCATGTATCTGATTTATGAGCAAGGCAAGACAACAGTATTTTGGTTGAACTGGGAAGACGCTGAGGGACCCCCAGTCCTCCCAGTTCCCTCCAGTGCTTCAATTTGCTTGGTACGGGAACAAAATGACAAAGACAGATGTGAAGCAAAGCCCCCAGTGCCAGAGATTGAAAGCCAGCTCAGCTCGAGGATGAGTCATGCTCCAAGAAAAGTCTGCAGTGGCTAGGCCTTGACGTCAGAGGCCCTTTAAGCACTGACTCCTGATGCCCAAGAGAGGGGGTGAGCAGTAATGAAAAGCGTCACTTGTGCGTCAATGCTCCGAAGTACGCGGCTGGAAGCTGTGTGTTCCTGACAATATTACAGATTCACAGATTTAGAGAGAAAAGGGGCTTTAGGGGCCACAAGGGACCACCCCTTATCTTGCAGATGAGGGGACCTAAAGCTGATGGAAGTTAAATGGTGCCACAGTGCATAGAGCCCCAACCCCTGCAGTCAGCAAGGTTCACCTTCCCGAGTTCAAATCTGGCCTCAGACACCTAGTAGCTGTGGGGCCCTGGGCAAGCCACTTAACCCTGTCTGCCTCAGTTTCTCCATCTGTAAAATGGACTGGAGAAGGAAATGGCAAATCCCTCCAGCATCTCTGCCAAGGAAACCCCACATGGGGTCACAAAGAGTCAGACACAAATGAACAACTTCTCAAATGAATCTAAAGCTCCCCAGACTTCATTCTCCTCCTCCCCACCCATTACCCAGGGTTCATAGCTTCCTGCTGTGTAGAGTATAAAATGGAATGGACTTGTTCCCCGACAGTAAACGGTTCAGCCCAGGCCGCTTCTAGTGGCCTCTCCCTCCCCACGGAGACAACTGGAAGGGTCCAGGCCCTGGATAAAGGGAGAGCAAACAGGTTTACCACCTCCACAGAGGCCTCCTCCTTTAACCCAGGGCTCTATCCTCCTAGAGATGTGAACTGGAGAGTAGGCAGGTCTAATTTCTAGTTGTATCTTCTTAATAAAGGCTTTTTGATCCACTCATCCACACCCTCTACATATATACAGAAAAATATAAAATATATAAAATAAATGAAAAAATATATATCAATAGAGTGAATTTAAGAGAAGGAGCAGAAGGGGCCTAGCTCAAGTTTCCCTTTGTACTTTACCTCCATTAAAGTCTTCTTCCATTGCCTGATTGTGGGGTGGAAATGACTCTTAGTTTTACATGGCTGAGGAGACCAAGCTCTGGAAGGACCCCAAAAGCTCTCAGGGCTCCAAGGATGGGCCCAGTGATGGCAACTGCCTGTGCCTATTCTTGCAGATGAGCTGGCTAAATTCAGAGAGGCCTATCGCCAAGGGACCCCAGGAGGGTTCATTTTTCAGGCCTAGTAATTCTCAAATCCCATGTGCTCAGCTGAAAAGGGGTCGTAGTTATTGGGGACTGCTCCACCTCCCCACCAGCCCATTGCGGTCCCTCCCAAGGCCTGTGGTTTGTGGCTTCCAAACAAACTTTGGTCAGTCACCAGCTGGCACCAACCCACCTTTTCCAGGTGATTATTCCTCTTTCCCCCTTCCCCCAAACACTCCAGGAAAGCCTCCCTCCTGGCTATTCTGCCTTGGACATTCCCTTTCCTATCTCTTTGGCTCTGGCCGCCTCCATGCTCACTTGGGGTCCAGTCTCCCCTCACCTCAGACTTCAAAGCTCAGCCGAGTGGCCCTTCCTAAGCAGGGGGGCCTTACTGAACACTTGGTGCTCCTCCAGCCCCAAATGCATTGATTCCTTATGTACTCACCGAGTAGGAGCTGGTTTTCCCAAGTACTAGGTGAGCTCCCAGAAGCCAGGACTGTTTCATTCCTATCTTTATGTCCTTAGCACCTGGCAGGTGTTCGGCACAAAGTAGGTCCTTAATGAATACTTATTGATCGAATGATTATTCTCCTGTAGAACTATGGCTAGAAGGAACCATAGGAATCACATGTCCAAACCGGCTTTTTACATAGAAGGAAACTGAGGTCTAAAGGAAATAAATAGTAGAGTCAGATCGTTAGACTCTAAACAAATCAGAGCTTTGATCATCTGTATTGAGGAAGAAAAGGAGGCAAGAGAGAGACAAAGAGGAACAGAAAGACCACGGTGGCTGCACAGAAGACTGCAGCAAAAGCTTCCCCTTCCCAATGCCTCCCTCCGCCGTTATGGGGATGGATGGAAGGTGCCCGGAGAGAAGTTCAAGGGCATCTGGCGTACGGGACAAAAGAATGGGGAATGGCTGCTGTTTTGAATACTGCAGCCCATAGGTTTCTTCCAGTGGGCCAGAACCTGTGAGAAACATATGACTTGGATTCCAAAGATTAATAAATAAGATAAAACTAGGTAATAAATAAAAGCATCAGTTCAAGTACTGAAGCCCTTTTCCCTGCCAGATTGGGAGGTCATTCTCAGGACTCAAGGGTGTGTAATACTGAGATCTCTTAAGGCCCCGGCAGCTGCCCTCTGGGTCACCGTCTGTCAGGGATCCCTGAGTTTGGTTATCTTTGTGGGGCCCCAAAATGTGAGGCCCAGAGAACCACCCACAGCGATACCAAGTGAAAGGAAGATTTATGGCTCTCTGCAGTTTCAAACCCAAGCTTCACCTACAGTAAGCTCCAGGGAGCCCTTCTACCAAGTGAGGAAATCTGCAACAGAAGAATGTCCCTTTCCACACCAGACCTTAGACTTCACGGGTGGAGGGAACTTTGAATGGACGTGCCCCTTACTGATTCAACTCTGCAAACGTTGGGCAACTTAATGGTTTTAGAGAAGCACCACCCTCCTGGCCACTCAGCCTCTCTTACCTTGGACTCCTTCTTTCTTCACATCAAGTTCCATGAACTGGGCTCTGTCTCTAATGGAGCCAAGCAGGCTTTTGGAGAAGTGAAGGAGAGCCGTGAATGGTGCCGGTGCCTGGCATGGCCCTGGCGCCATTGGTTTCCAATCTAAGCCTTGGAAAGGGACTGGAGGCCATCTGGTCCAACTGGTCCCTGATGGGTGTGGCCCTTCCACTGGACTGGAAATCCTTCTAATAATGTGAGCACTTAGCTCATATCTCTCCATCTATTCAACAAAAAGTAGCTCAACTCCATGGGTCTGTGGGTTAATATACATTTATTAAGCCTTGTGCCAGGTAGTGTGCTAAGCACTAGGGATACCTGCCCTCGAGGAGCTCATGATCTAATGGGGAAGACAACATGAGAACACATGTATACAGAGCATGCTATGTACAGGATAAATAGGAAATAATGAAGAGAGGGGAGGCCCTGGAGACATCCCTTGTCACAACAGGAATAGCATTTAGTTTGTGAGGATTGGTTCTTGATAGAAGCAGAAACCCCAGATTTCTGTTCACTATGGTTTTGGGGACTCTCCCCAATTCCTGTGGGCCACTCTTAGGTAAAAGGAGCAGGAAAAGTCCAGTCACAACTGGATGGCCGAGAATTTCTTAACGACTTTGGGTGTTAAAGGGCAGGAGGCTCCCTAAGAGACCAGTCCAACTGGTCCAGTTTTGCCTTTGGGTGAACACATACTGGCAGGCCAAGGGACTTGCTCAGAAATGAGCAGATTAGTCCAATTTCTGGTGAAGCTGTAAAATGTAAATCCCTAATTTTGATCCGTTTTATCAACAAACCAGAAGAGGAGAGCTGAGCCAGGTGCAATAATAGCAAATGGGCCAATCAATTTAGGGATCCAGAAGGGCGCTGGCTGGAGCTGAGGAGTGGGAGCACTCCAGGCCTTGGGCAAAGGCTTGGAGGTCGGAGTTGAGGCATTGGAACGTGCAGTTAGGAACAACTAGGGTTGGCTGCAGTGTGCAGTGTGGCCTTCCCCAGCCCCTTTTAATCCTAGCGCTTCCTCTTTGTAATTATTTTCTATTTTTTATACCGCATATAGCTGGCTTTGTACATATTTGTTTGCACAGTCTCCCCCATCAGAGGGCAGGGACTGTCTGTTGTCTTCTGCACATAGTAGGCTCCTAATAAATGTTCTTGACGATTCATGGAACGAAGAGCAGGTTGGAGGCACGTGGTGTTGCAGGGGCATTAGGGACAACGTAGGGCCGTTTGGAGCGGGGCGACAGCCAGACCTAGGGACTCAGGGGCATTTTGGGGGGCATTCCTGGGATTTCCTCGGCCAGCCCTCGGAGAATGACCCGGATGAAGGGGGCAGGGGTGAGGCTGCTGCCTCGTTTTATAGGGGAGGAGGCGCGCAGCCAGAGACGGGGCTCGAACCCACTACCCAGGGCAGCCTTCTCTAACTCTCAGAAAAGGAGGGGGCCAGGGCCTCCGTAACCAAGGTAACCGTCTGAGACAGGCACCCGGCCTCAGCCCCTACCTCCGCCTTCCCAGTGTCCTCCTAGGGCTCGGCGCGGGGAGCGGCTGCCGACTGCGCACGTGCGGACCTGGAGGTCCCCCTCCTCCTCCCCCGCCCTCCGGACGCCGGCGCTTGGGCCTCGCCAGCCTCCGTACAGGCCCGTCGCGGGCTCCACGTTGGCTGCGCAGGCGCACTTGGCGCGTCGCTCTCCTACCGGGCCTCCGTCGTCGCCGTAGCTGCCGCCGCCGCCGCTGCCGCGGCTGGATGGATGGGGGCGCGGAGGGCGGGCCGAGGCGAGGCGGGGAGGGTGGGGAGCGGAGCCGGAGCCGGTGCCGGAGCCGGGAGCAGCAGCAGCAGCAGCAGCGGCCGCGGAGGACGCGGCCCGAGGCTGAGGGAAGCAGAGCGGCCGCCGCGTCCGTGAGGCCTCCGCGGGGCCCGGCCGGAGGCCCGAGGCCCGAGGCCCCCGCACCATGTTCAAGAAGCTGAAGCAGAAGATCAGCGAGGAGCAGCAGCAGGCGGCGGCCCAGGTACCCGGGGGGGCGGGGAAACTGAGGCACAGGGGGAGGGGTAGGCGAACCTCGCTCTCGGTCTGAGTGATTGGCTCCCGAGACCCAGGAGTGACCGGGGAGGACCCGGAGCCCCCCCGAGGGGGGCCAGGACCTCCGACTCCTGCGGCAGAGCCGGTCCGGACGCCCGCGGAGTGCCTCAGTTTCCCCCTCTGTAAGGCGGGCGGGACGATAGCCCCCCCCCCTTCCCCTCCCCCTGGCCCGGAGTGATCCTCGGACCCTCCCCTGGTGACGGGGGCGTGGGCTTGCCCGGTCCGAGCCCGGGACCTTGGGCCGGTGCGGTCACGTGCGCCCCCGAACTTTGGCCCCTCCCCCCAGCCTCGGCCTGAAGACGGGGACCCCGCCCCCGGGGTTCTCTCTGAGCCCGGCCCGAGGGTCTCCCTGCTTCAGCCCGGGCTGTTTGGCCCCGGCGAGGTTCGGCCGACTCTGCCCCGTCGGGCCAAGGAGTTGAGCGAAGTGCTGGTGACGTCACAGGCCCTGCCTTAGCAAAAGCAAACTTGGGCGGACTTTGGCCTCCCGCCTCCGGGAGCGCGGGTGTCCCACGTCATCAGCCCTCCTTAGCGAACTTTCCTCTCGGGGCGGAGCCGGAGACGCCAAAGTTTTCTTTCTTTTGAATTTTGTGCCCAAAACTTTTAGGCGATACTTGAAGAGTGGTAGCAGCTGATAACAGGCTCTGAAGTGTTGCCCTTGCACGGTTACGGTATCCAGGGCCTGGCGGAGTGTCATTGGACCCTCATTAGGAGGCTGGCGGGCCGGTGCTCTTCTTATCTCCTTGGATGTAGTGACTTGCCCCGGGGCCGGTAGAATAACCATACTTTATTGCTGTTCAGTCATTTTCAGCTGTGTCCGACTCTTTGTGACCCCATTTGAGGTTTTCTTGGCAAAGACATTGGAGTGGTTTGCCATTTCCTTCTCCAGCTCATTTTGCAGATGGAGGAGAGACTGAGGCAGACAAGGTAAGTGACTTCCTCAGGGTCCCACAGCCAGTAAGTGGCTGAGGCCAGATGTGAACCCAGGTCTTCTGGACGCCAGGCCTGGCACACTATCCACTGCTCCAGAAATCATAAGTAGCTGATATTTATTTGGCGCTAAAGGGTTGGTGTAGTGCTTTATATACATTGTCTCATTAGATCGTCATGCGAGTTCTGAGGTAACTGTTTTCCCTCTTTTTTTTTTGAGGCTATTGGGGTTAAGTGAGTTGCCCAGAGTCACACAGCTAGTGAGTGTTATGTGTCTGAGGCCAGATGTGAACTCGAGTCCTCCTGTCCCCTATGCTCCATCCATTGCACCATCAGCTGCCCCATTATCCCTCTTTTACAGATACGACTAATGAGGCTCAGAGTGGTTAAATACTAGTATGTGTCTGAAGCAGGATTTGGACAAAGGTCTTTCTGACTCTGTCTTCTCTGCTTTATGTCCCACCAGGAAGCTGAGTTAGTCGGCTAGTCAAGGACCATTTATTAAGTGCCAACTCTGTTGCAGGCAGGGTGCTCAGTTCTAGGGATGCAGTACTGATTTCCTGCCCTTCTGGAGCTCCCGGCCTAAGGAGAGGGAGGTCGGGATGCACCGCGAGATCTGAGATGGCTTTCTCTTGTCTTTCCATGCAGCCCGTGTAGTCAAGTAATTGGGAACGAGGCTGATTGTGTGTTTTTGGACAGTCTGCCACATCCCGGTCTCAGCTTTCTCAGTTGGTTTGTTACGTAGAGTTTTCAAAATCAGGGGATTGTTGTTCGTCCTTCATTCTTGAAGATGACCGCTGACGTCCCTAGAGTGATGTCCTGACCTTTGAGTGGGTTGGATTTAAGTGAGACAGCTGCACAAAGAAGTCCAGGGGCAAGACAAAAGTCTGGGTGACCTTGGACTTCCTCAGTGAAGTTTGTCTGAGGCCACTCAAGGGAGTAACGACGGAACCATTTGCTTTTTGATTATGCAGAGATTGATAGTGGGGAGCACTGAGAGCTTTGTGCCAAGTTGTGTTCTGCTGCCAAGGGTCCAGGGAGACAACAAAACTTACAGGCCCCTCTCCATGAGCGCTTCATGGTGTTGTACTCGGCTTTCTAGTATTCCTAGTATTCGTGTGGAGGCGGCTCTGGCCAGGGCAGCGCAGGCTTGGACAGATTCTGCTGCCTTGGGAAAGCCTGGGGTAATGGGGCAGCTAGGTGGTGCCGGCCCTGAAATCAGGAGGACGTGAGTTCAAATCCAGCCTCAGACCAAACACTCGACACTTACTAGCTGTGTGACCCTGGGCAAGTCACTTAACCCCAATTGCCTTTAAAAAAAAAAAAAGATGGCCTGACCTACTGTCCAAGAACAGTCTGGCTGAAGTATTGCCAGAGGGGGCTGAATTTTTGGTCCATGGTGATTTTCCCAGACTATCAGGTTATCAAGAGCATTTAATCTGCTGGAGTGAAAGAAATGCCTTCACGGAAGAAATTACAGATTCTTGAGTCAGTGACAATGAGGGATACAAAAGGGAAAAAGTAAAATGATACCTGTCCCCAAGAAGACGAGAAATCAGCAGAGAAATAGGACATGTGGGAAAGTAACTAAAAGTTAGATAACCTGAGGGAAGCCTGAGAGATGCCCAGCAGAGCCATGGAGTCATTTGGGTTGGGAAAGATCAGGTTGTACAGATGGCCCTCTTTACAACATCAAGTGCTTCTCTGGGCTGTATTCCCAGGAGTAGAATTCCTGGGTCAGAAGTTCTGACCTGTTTAATGGCTCCAGCTTAGAGCCAGATTACTTTTCAAAACGATCACACACCATTACTTTTATGAACACTTATGCCACACAGTCACTTTGTCTTTGCTAATGAATGCTTGTGAGGTGGTAGTTCCTCGTTGTTTTAAATGGCATTTCTTTATTTTTGTGTTTATTTACTATGAGTTTCTTTTGGGGATTGTTCATATCGTGATTTTGTTGGTCCCGTAGAGATTGGATACTTAATTTGTATCAGGGCAACGTTGGTAGAGACTCAGGCCTTATACCCCTAGGAGATGTGTACACGTTTTTGTTTATTTTTTGGTGGTTGTTGTCAGACCTGGGATTTTATTGGGATGGAGAACTCCATGTTTGGAAACTCCTGGCAAGGAACATTTGCAACTCTTCTTTAACTTTTAGTCTTTTTTGGGGGGGGAGGGGGAGGTAATTGGAATTAAGTGATTTGCCCAGGGTTACACAGCTCATAAGTGTCTGAGTCGGAGGCTGGATTTGAACTCGGATTCCTCTGGCTTCAGGGCCAGTGCTCTATCCACTGTGCCACCTAGCTGTCCCTAGCTTATAGTCTTAAGTCTTAGTGTCTGGGCCACTGAGAGGTTGAGGTACCTTGTTCTGGGGTACGCAGCTAGTGTATGTCAGACTCAGGATTTGAGCCTGAGTCTTTGTGATTCAGAGGCCTTATCTTTGTCTCCTGTGTCCCATTGTTTAAGTGGTGTGACCTACTCAAATAATACTAGCCTCTTAGCGTGGGTAAGTGAGTCAGTCAGGAAGCATTATTAGGCATTTACAGTGTGCCAGGCACTGTGTGAACAGCCCAAGGAGCTCACAGTCTTAATGGAGGAGACTGCGTGAAAATAAGAGGCGACATTAAAGACATCTAGGGAGCAGGTGGAAAGCGGTCTCATAGGAGAAGGCACTGCCATCTGGGGCTTGAGTGGATGGTGACCTGTGTCTTGAAGGCACCCAAAGGCAGGGGGAAAGAGGGAGGGCATTCCAAGCATAGTGAAAAAGCGCAGAATCAGGAGATGGCCTGGCATGTTTGGGAACAGGAAGCAGTGCAGTGTAGCTGGATTCTAGGGACATGTATGATGAGACTGGAAAGGTAGGAAGGAGCGAGGTTCTGAAGAACATTAAGTGCTGCGTGGAGGACTTCAGATGGGCTCCTGGAGGTAGTAGGCAGCCACAGGAGTTCTTTGGGTAGGGAGGGATGATGTAGTCACTCTTATGCTTTAGGAAAATCACTTTAGAAAACCAGGAGAGGATAGGGTGTGGTAGGGTGAACCTCAAGAGCCAGAAGGCTTCTGCAGGTGTCCTGGCGTGAGGTGACGAGGACTCAGAATATGCTTGTGGCTGTGGATGTATGGCTGAGATGTCATGAAGGTACTGAAAAGATCAGGTACCAGCAGGGCGGCATCAGTATCAGAAGAGAGAAGGGCGAACATAGGAGAGATGGTATCAATTGGCAGCAGATTGGATGTGGGGCTGGTGGTGAGAGAGCCAAGAACTGAGGATTCCCCTGGATTGTGACTTTAGGTGACAGGGAGAATGGCAGTAGCATTGTGTAATGGGGACTGGAAGAGGGGAAATAATGAGTTCAGTTTTGGACACGTTGAGTTTTAAGATGTCTATGGAACACGCAGTTCCCAGTGTCCAACAGGCAGTTCCATATTTGAGCCTGGAGGGTCAGCAGAGAAGTTAAGGCTGCATAAGTAGATTTGAGGATAATTCGCATCGACATAACAGTTAAATATGTAGGACCTGATGAGATCACCAAGGGAAGAGGGCCCAGGGCAGAGCCTGGGTGATACTCGGAGTTAACAGTGACCCAGAAGAATGTCCATCGAGGATGACTGAAAAGGAGCAGTCAGATTGGTAGGAGGAGAAGCAGGAGACCAGAGGGCTATGAAATCCTAGGGAGAAGAGACTATTGAAGAGGGATTGAGAGCGTTGGAGGTTGCAGAGAGGTCAAGAAACATGAGGGTTGAGCAAAGACAGCGAGGAGGTCATTAGTTCCTTTGGAGAGGTCTGAGCCAAATTGTAGAAAGAAGAGAGTGAGAGGGGCGAAAGTGGGGTAGCCATTGTAGATGGCCTTAAAGAGTTTAGCCATGAAAGGGAGGAGGGGTAGGTGATGACAGCCAATGGGCATAGGTGGGTCAGGCGAAGGCTTTTTGAGGGTGGGGGAAATATGGCCCCTCTGTAGGCAGTAAGGAAGAAGCCAGTAGACAGGGATAGGTTAAAGATAAAGGAGAGAGTGAGGGTGATAGAGGGAGCAGTCCGTTGGAGAAGACGGAATGGCATCAGCCAATAAACATTTATTGAGTACCACCTTTGTACGTGTGGGTGTTTAGTTGTTTCCGTCATACCTGACTCTTCGTGACCCCCGTTGGGGTTTTCTTGGCAAAAATCCTGGAGTGTTTTGCTGTTTCCTTCTCCAACTCATTTTACAGATGAGGGAGTGGAGGCAGGCAGGATAAAGTGACTTGCTAGTGAGTATCTGAGGTCATATTTGAACTCGGGTCTTCTGACTTAGGTCCAGCACTCTGTCCATTGTGCCATCTACCTGTCCCCCCAAATAGATACCCGAGTGGTTTGCCATTTCTTTTTGTAGCGGATTAAGGCAAACAAGTGAAGTGACTTGCCCAGGGTCACAAAGCTAGTAAGTGTCTGAGGTAGGATTTGAACTTGGGTCTTCCAGACTCCAGGCCCAGGTGTTCATCCACTTCCTCCATAAATATGTAGTGGTAATTATTGCTTTTCAGTCATTTAGTCCTGTTCCACTCTTTGTGACCTCGTATGGGCTTTTCTCGGTGAGGATACTGGAGTGGTTTGCCATTTCCATCTCCAGTAGATTAAGGTAAACAGTGGTTAAATGACTTGCCCAGGGTCATACAACTAGTGTCTGAGGCTGGATTTGAACTTGGATCTTCCTGACTTCAAGCTCAGCCCTCTATCCACTGAGCCACCTAGCTGCCTCCATTATATGCATTATGTCCACCACGTGCCTAGCACTGTGCTAAATGCTGGTGATACAAAAAGAGGTAAGAGACAGCCCCTGCCCTCAAAGAGTTTACAATCTAATGGGGGAAGCAACATTCAAACAAATATATACAGAGCGAACTATATGCAGGATAAATAGGAAGTAATCAACAGAGGGAAAGCACTAGAATGAGAGGAGTTGGGAAAGACTTCTAGTGAAAGAAGGGCTTTTAGTTGGAACTTAGAGGAAGCTGTCTTCAGCAAGGTCCCTTATGTTCAGAGGGCTTTGCCTTGGCAAGGAGAAGGGCTGTCTCCTTTGGTGAGGGGATAGTGGCAGAGGCATCTCGATTCTGAAAAAGGAGGAGGAGGGAGAAGAGAGACTTTTTGGTGAATCGCCTCATCTTGTTTCAGGGAAATATGAAGTGAGTTTCTGAGCTGAGACGGTGGGAGAAAGGGAACTGGGAGAGGCTTGAGGAAGGGCGAGAGCGTCTGGAAGAGCCTTTTGGGGGGGGGGTGCCCACAGCGCCACAGCTAGCGAGTGTCTGAGGCAGGATTGGAAGTCAGCTCTGCCTGACTCTCGGCTTAGCAGTCTCCAGTGTGTCATCACCTAGAATGTCTGTGTGGGGCAACTGAGTAGGAGGCATTGAGGATGGCAGCGAGGCTGCGAGCCTGGCGGTGCGAGAGGTGGGTTTGGGGGAGATGATGAATTCTCTTTTGGACTTGTTGAATTGGAGATGTCTGTAGGACGTCCAGTTTGAAATCTTCCGAAGGCAATTGTTAAATGGGGGTTTGAAGCTTGAGAGAGACTAGGGCTGGACATATTGATCTGGGGATCCTAAGTGTAGAGATGATAATTGAACCCTTGGGAGTTAATGAGAATGCCAAGTAAGAGGGTGCAGGACCGAGCCTTGGGGTACACTCCTAGTCGGTGGGTGTGACACGAATGAAGATCTAGCAACCGGGGAGCCATCAGACAGTAGGAGAACCAAGAGAGAGTAATGTCACCAAAAAAAAAGGAAAGCTGAAAAAGAACGTTTCCTGGAGAAAGGGGTCCAGAGTTCAATGCTGCTGACAGGTCAGGAGGGATGAGCACTGAGGAAAGACCTTCAGATTTGGCACTTCAGAGGTTATTGGTAACTGTGGAGAGAGCAGGGTTGGTAAAGCATGGGGAGATTGTAAGCCAGATTCCTCAGAGAGTGAGAGGAGAGGAAAGGCGGGGACTGGAGAGAGAGTTTACTTCTGTTGCTTCGTTTTGCAGATGAAGGAAACAGAGCTCCAGAGAGGCTTAAAGATCTGTTTAAGTTTACACGGCCAGTTGAGGCATGTGTCTTCTCTGACTGCCAGTTCAGGGGGGCCCTTTCCACAACCTCATGTGGGCTCTCCTTTTTTTTGGTGGTGTCAGTGTGGCCCCTAACAGAGAGAATGTGGCGCTGGAGGTCACAGCACTCGTGATTTTTGTGATTTTCCTCCATAGGTCCCTTCCATTTCACCTGCCCCAGCAGGGACCAGGAGCCGGACATCTTCTCTTACAGAACAGCATGATGATGGTACGCCCAACAGAGAGGTCAGTGTGGAATTGGTTTTCTTATCATTTCTCACATTTTGGGGGAGGGTGGCTAGGCAATGGGGTTAAGTGACTTGCCCAAGGTCACACAGCTAGTAAGTATTATATGTCTGAGGCCAGATTTGAACTCGGTCCTCCTGAATCCAGGGCTGGTGCTCTATCCACTGCACCATCTAGCTGCCCTCTTTATCATTTCTCACAGGAGGCACATCAGTTGTGACTCAGGTGGCCAAGATGTTAGGTGTGAGGGTGGTGGAATTTCACTGATGGGTGTTATTTGGAAATAGTAACATAGATCATATTATCTCTACCAGTAGGGAGGCTAGGCCTGTGATTTCACTGTCTAGGGGACTGGGACATGAGAATACTTCTGCCAATGCAAGTCAGCACCTCCTCTGCAGACACTCATTGCCTAGAGGGCATTGGCTTTACAATGATCATCATAAACCTTTGTTCTGAGAAAATTGGCTTTCTTTGAACATTTTTCCTTACATAGAAGAATAATAATATGTCTTAAGTGGTGTTTAAGTTGCATATCATTTCATAAGATTATAGAATTAGAACTGATAATGACCTTTGAAGTTACTTAGGTCAGCTGTCTCAATTATTTGTGAGGCAACTGAGGCCAGAGAGGTAAAGTACCATGCTCATGGTCATCCATGTAATAAGGGGCAGGGCTGGGATTTGAATGCTGGTTCTCTGACCCCAAATGTGGTGCCTTTAATTTCTAAAACAGCTGTGAGGGAGGGAAAGAAAACTCATTTTAGGGATGAGAAAGTTTAGATTAGACTTGCTGATTCTCTGCAACCATAGTTCAAGCAGCTAGACTGAGAATTGAGGGTAGACTTTAATTAGGCTGTTTAATCACAGACATTCCTGGAAGTTTTTAAGGTTTACAGAGGACTTCCCATGTGTTCTCACGGGCCCCTCAGAACAATCGTGGCAGGTGGGAGTATGGCCATTGGGCTCAGAGAGGTTCAGTACTCCTGGTCACATGTCTCAGTGTCAAAATTTAAATCCAGGCCTTCCTGCTGTTAAATCCATATTCTTCCTCAGCTTCAGGCTTAGGGTGTCTCAGTCATTCTGATGGCTTCACACACACACATGCACATGCATGTGCACACACACATACTCATATATTATTTTTTTTATAATTATATTTTATTTTAGAATACCACTCTATTATCTCCATTTTACAGATGAGGAAACTGAATCATACAAATCTATCCAGCATTTGTTCTTATTGTTATACTGCATCTTTAAATGTTGTCAGTTGGTTGTAATTTTAAAAGTGATGCTGATGTTTTCTTTGAATTCTTAACTCACATAGTAAATTCATGTGTTTTTAGAGTTTGTTTTCAGGGTTAATGTTGTGTTATTATCTTAATGTTTATTCACAGATCTCACTAATTAAAAGGAAGTGGAATGATCGCTACCCAAGCTTCCATAACAGCTTAAAGATTCTGCTACATAATTGCTTTTTAAGTGAATTTTAAGAACTATTTTAAGTGTTTATAAAGTAAGCACACTCAAATTATTCTTTTCCATGTAGGTGGGAAAGCTTGCCTCCTTGAGGCAATTTTTTATAGGGACCCGAGACTTGCTTTCAGACTGACCCAGGGAAGCCAGAAGCTCCTTTAGTCTTTGGCCTTTCCCCCATGACAGGTTTCCTTTCATTGCTCAGTGACCTTGCACTTCATTGGGCCAGTTGGAAAGCTTCTGCACGGGGTAATTCATCGTTCCATGAGATAGACTGCTGTCCTCAAACCTCCATTATCTGCCTGCTGAGCATTTTCTGTACTATTAGGGAACTTTTGATAACAAACTAGCTCTTAAATTTGAATGAAATTTTCAGTCCTAGGCCTGGGATTTCATTTGTTAAGTCACTTTCTAGTCGTATATTTAATTAAAAGTACATTTTCATAGGGAGAATCTATGTAGCCATTGCTTTCTGGCTTTTTACTTTTGATGTGAGTCCTGTATTGTCAGGGATACTGATTTTTTGAGTCTCAAAATGCTATTGGCTTCTTCTTTTGAAGCAAAAATTTATTTATGCATTAATTTGATGCATGAAATTGGTTGTCTTTCAGTCATAATGCATAGGCATAATGTAGTTCAGTTCTACAAACATTATCAAGTGTCTACTATGGACAGAATTCAATGTAAATGCTTGGTGATCCACAGAATTCAGAAAAAAATATGATTCTTGCCCTTTTGGAGATTACAGTCTTTTTGGGGACATGACATACACAGACAACAATAATACAAAATAATCGAATTGCACACTAGAGGTGTGAGCAAAGTACTAAGTGAGGTCTTGTTTGGACAGGGGTGAAGGGAGGTCCTTGCCCATGTTGGGAATTGTGGAAGGCTTCCTGGAGGTTTTTGGCTTTAAAGGTTGGCTTAGGAATTACCTAGCTGGAGAAGAAGGTATTCCAGGTTAGATTTAAGCAAAGATGCTCAGTAGGATAGTGTGGGATACATATGGGTTGTGACAGAGTCCACTTAGCCATACACTAGAGTTTGTGGAGGAGAGTAGCATTAGATAATATATCTTTGGTGTACAGACTTACTAGCTAGATCAAAAGGATATGCACAGTTTTATAGCTTTTTGGGCATAGTTCCAGATTGTTCTTTAGAATGGTTAGTCCAGTTCACCATTCCGCCAACAGTTCATTATTATACCTATTTTCCCTCATCCCTTCTAGCGTTTGTCATTTCTGAAAGGTGTGAGGGTGGTACCTCAGAGTTCTATTTTGCTTTTCTCTAGTCAATAGTGATTTAGAGCATTTTTTTCATGTGACTGTAGATAGCTTTGATTTCTTCTTCTGAAAACTGCCTGTTCATATCCCTTGACCATTTGTTAGTTGGGGAATGACTTTTATTTTTATAAATTTGACTTAGTTCCCTGTATATTTGAGAAATGAGGCCTTTATCAGAGAAACTTGCTGTAAAATGTTTTGATATCACTTCATTGTCTGTGGTACCTTTTAGTAAAGTATACTGTTTTTGCTTTTGCTTTGTCTGAGATTATGATTGCTACTCCTGCCGTTTTTTTACTTCAGCAAAAACACAGTAGGTTCTGGTCTAGACCTTTATTCTAACCCTGTGTGCGTCTTTCTATTTCAAGTGTGTCTCTTATACAGCGTGGAATCGGATTCTGGCTTCTAATCCATCCTGCTATTCCCTTGTTTAGCGAGTTAGTTCATGCCGTTCACAGTTATCATTGGCTCTGTATTTCCCTCTGTATTTTCTTCTGTTTGTCCTTCTCTCTCTTTATCCTGTCCCTCCTCAGAAGTATGCATGCATGTATGTGTGTGTGTATGTACGTATATATGTATGTAGCCATGTATGGATGCGTGCATATATGCTCGTACACATACATGCACATATACAGTGCACGCATACATGCAGGCATACACACATGCACATACAATACATGTGTGTTATATATACACATACACTATATATATACGTGTGTGTATGTATGTATAAATATATGTAAAAATAAAGGCAAACAAAGATTCTAGGCTCTCCATCATCTTTTTTGCTTTTCTCTAGAATTAATAGAGCTTGATACTGAATTTGAGAAGTGGGGGAGAAGGAAAAGTTAAGAGTAATGATAATAAGTCTTATGTTAACTAAGATCCTTGGGGAATTGAGTGTTGTGGAGAAGTTAGTCTTTTTAACCAAAGGTTGATCTGAAATCTCTGTTCCAGCCCTCCTTGAAAATCTTGGTAAAATTTTCTGCCTCAGTAAATATATTATGATGAAGCAAACGGAATCTTTTCAATGATTACTGTCTTTGGGGTTATTAGAAACAAGAATGTGAATTACAGAGAATTGTACATTGGGGAGGTAAAAGAGAGGGAGGGGGTACTAGTTCCTGGAAGTTCCTTGGGAGGAAGGCTCTCTGCAGGGGAATTTGCAGCTAGCCTCATTCCTAGGGTTAGTCAGGCTTGAAAGATGGGGTTATGTGCCTCTTCTCTTCCCCTTATAGAAATAAGGGTAACATAAATGCCAGTAGAACCTTTGAAGGGGAAAACAAGTCAGCAAAGGAGCAGTCTTAGCAGAGTAGCCTTGGGAATGGGAGAGGAGGCATGTAAGTGCCTCAAGTCCATCTTCACACAGACTTTTCTTTAGCTCTGTTGGTATCTCACGTCTGCTCTCCTTTCTGGGCCCTCCCTTGTTTTTTTTCTCATAAATTCCTGATAACAGTATTTCAGTCATTTACCATTTTTCTTCTAAAAGCAGATTGTAGCAAAAATTCCAGTTAATTCTTAGGCTAAAAGCCGTTCCTTATAACAGAGAATAAGAAAGATAAGAGAAAAAGCATTTCAGCAAAACTAACTGACCCAGCAGCCATGCCCAGCAGTGCCCCTCCCCCTGCGTCCTCATATCTCTGGGTCCACATGGGAAGGATGATTCCTTTCTTAGGACACATCGTTTGTATGTGTTATCAGGATAAATTACATTGCTCTTTCTTGCCTTTATCTTTTTTTACACTGAGAGGGACTTTTTGGGGGGGGATATTTTTTTACTTTACTCCATAGTAGTTGCTTGACTAGGATTCTGTTTCCTGGAGAACATTTAATTTATATGTTAAGATTCTAAATTTTGCCTTCTGATAGAAAGTGTGATGCAGTGGATTTAGGGAGGAGGGGTGGAGAATCAAATGACAGATTAATCAGTGACCTCCAAGGTGTTTAATTGATGGCAGCTTAAGAATATATTTGCCAGCTCCAAGACACTGGTCATGTTGCTTCATCTGTGATGTCTTTTAAAAATGTAATGTACAATGTGCAGTAGTTTCTGTTGTTTTATTGCTTCCAAGTAGATCAGTGTATATTACAATGTAAGAGAGTCTGAGATACAAATTCTTGGCATCCTCAGACCTTGATAAATATACTTGGATGTTGTGGATTGTTCACTGTATCTCTAACCCAGACAGATGAAATGTTTTCGAGATTCTTAGAACTGTACTGAAAATGTTTGATGTTTGGAAAGAGCTGTTTTGATGTCTTACCCCTTGCTGGATTGACTTTAAATGTTTCTTAGCTATGACTCTGCCGTTTTGAGGGCATGTTCGTTTCATAGGTAGGACCTTTGACCATTAGTCATGGCATTTGCTATGTTTTTGGGTGCTAAACTCTGTGTAGTTTTGCTGCATTGGCATAGTGCTGAGTGCTGAGAAACAAGGAAAGGCCTTCCAATGGAGGAGACAGCTTTGGATTCTGCAATGTCTGTGCCACCAGAGCACAAACTCTGGGCAGGTCCTGCCCACCTGGAAAAGCAGAAAGTCTAAGCTTAGTGACTAGCTAAGTATAGAGAAGTTTGATGACAGAAGGCTGGCAGCTGGTCTTCTCCCCCCACCCCCGAGCCAGAAGCCTGAAAATTCTTCTTCCATTTTCTTCTGAGAGGTTAGGACTGCCTCCCTCCACAGTCAGTGGGTACATGTGAAAGGTGCATCCCTGAAGTAGGCTGGGTTTCCCCTTACTCTTCACGTTGCCTGGAATTCAGAGTTGGCAGTTAGGAGTGTGGAAAGAACACAGGCCTTTGAGTCAGAAGAACTGGCCGTAGACCCAGCTCTAAAGCGTTTTGTGTGACCTTGGCCAAGCAGGTTGTCTCTTGGGGACTTAGCTACAAAATTAAAGGGACTGGATGAGCTGACTTCTGAGGGCCCTCAAGCTTAAACGTTAGGAATCTCTAAAACAAATTCTTGGACTCTGCCTCAGTTATTGATTTACCAAAACTGCTTTGTCCTAATGGTGTGGTAACAGAGCTTTCAGTATTCACGATTTGATGCAATTATGAGTGAAACGAGTTTGTGTGCGTGCGTGTGCGTGTTGTGTACATGATCGCTTGTTTTCTGTCACATGATCAGTTGTTTGCTATTGGGAATTTTTTATTTTGATTTATTTTTTTGGTGAGGCAGTTGGGGTTAAATGATTTGCCCAGTCACATTGCTGGACTGTTACATGTCTAAGGCTGAATTGGAACTCAGGTACTCCTGACTCCAGGGCCGGTATTCTATCCACTGAGCCACCTAGTGGCCCCTTATTTGGTATTTTTTTTAGAAAGGCAACTTTCGTAGGCTACTTAAGTTGCAGAGGACCTTGCAGCCTGCATTGTAAGTTTCCTCATTTGGGAGCCCCACCACCCATAACATTAGAAGTCTGGTCCCTCTTTCCTGTTAAAAAGCAAAACAAAACCAAACCCAATTGAACTGGTTGTCTGATATTTTAGAAGATTCATGTTGCTCTTTGTAAATAAATTTATTTTTCATGTATAATATTTCAGTATCTTAGAGAATTTTCTCCAGGATAACTCGACTATAAAAAACAGTAGAAATATTCAGAACATGGAGCCATAGCAGGCAGAATCTTGAGTATTGTAATTCGTAATTATTCAGAAGTAGTTGTTGGTTTTTTACATGCTTGAGGCCCGAAGGCTTTAGTGATGTGTGTGAGGAAGTCCCTGCTGTCAGCACTCCTTCAGCCAGTTGAGCTATCACTTGTGTAGAGAAGATCCTGAGGAGCTGATCATCTGCCCAGCATCCTGCACGGCTGCAGCACAGGAAGACCCTGACAGGGCTTCCTGATCACAGACCCAGTGTTTTATCCACAGTGCTGTGTCAAGTCAAATGATATCGAGCGCTCACTCCATGTGGGACACTGTGTGAAGCACTGGGGATCGAGCTGAAAGAAAGATAGCCCCTGCCCTCTGGGAGCTGGCGCTGAGACTGGAAAGGCTGAGGGGGAGGGGAAGGCGCTTGCTGTGGGAGACGCGGTAGAGAAATTCCTGAAGAGTCGGGCGTGTATCCTAGCCGTGAGGGGAGTGAAGATCTGATGGCAGGGAAGCCAGCCAGTCAATCACGAGGTGAAGCTGTAGTGACGACAGAGGGGACCCCCAAGTTTGAGAAGTAGGGGAGAGGAGCGGCATTGCGGGGCATAGTCAGATGGTTGGCAGTGCTGCTTTCTTTGAATGTGTTTAGGGCAAAATGCCTTACTGTGTGTGAATGCACGTAAGCGAATGGGCAGAGACACTTTGTATGTGTACACGGGGACTTACCCTCTCTACATAGCTGTCTGGATGTATAAAAATGAACAGTTCAGCGCTTCATAGTGTCCTCTGGCATATTTACCTTTATGGGCATGGTTTGTTTGGGTTTTTTTTTGGCTAGGCAGTGGGGTTAAGTGACTTGCCCAGAGTCACACAGCTAGTGGGTGTTATGTGTCTGAGACCGGATTTGAACTCAGGTCCTCCTGTATCCAGGGCCAGTGCTCTATATCCACTCCACCACCTAGCTGCCCGTGGGCATGGGTTCTTACTTGAAACTGTTTAATATGCTACTTGTGTGCTACTTTGATACTTTTGTAGATTTTTATGAATATACCATTTAAAATTGTATTGTAGAAAAGCTGTGAGATCTCAGACTCCTCCCTGGCTTCTCTTCCTTATTGCTTCATTATTACTGATTAAATAACCTTGGTTCGATCTCAGTACTGCTCTGGCTCCTGAGATGTAAAAAAATGGAGGAGGTGATTAATTCCTAATCCCTTCTAAACTGCCGTTTGACTCTGCTACTAGACTGAAGCTCCAGCTGATGGCTTCCCTCTTGCTCCGTCTTGCTGTTTTTCCTTTTCTTCTGCCACCCCCTTGGTGCTGTCCTCTGTGTTCTCCCTTGGCTTTTGTGAACCTGCGCTTAGTGCTTCTTCTCCGTCCTAGACTTTTCCTGCTTGGTCTCTTTCCTGGCCCTTCATTCTCCTCCTGCCTCTTCCATGTGGACATTTCCCAGGCGTCTGTCTATAAGCTTATCTCCTCCTGTGATTTTCATTATTTTCTTTTTGTGGATCACTCTCAAAATCTATGGTCCGCCTCCATTGTCTCTTCCAAGCTCATTCATTTATGTAACAAATATTCATGAAGCCTTTGTGGGCAAAGCACTGCACTAAATAAACACTGGAGGATAGCCAAAAGGTAGTGAGACACAATCCCTTGTCCTCCCAGGGCTTCCAGTCTAGTAGAGGGGGAAGAGCCAAATACAGTTAACCATCATGCATCACATCACATGCTAAATGTATTAGTGAGTAACAAAGTGCCATGACAGGCTGAGGGATCCAGTTTATTCATGGCCCCGGGCCTGGGGAGGATTAGGGATGGAAATGGCCTTTGAAAGGAAAGGAGCTACCTTACAGGCATAGGAAACATGGCAGAGTTGGAGGATGGCTGAGGCCTGAGGCATTTGGGAGACAGGCTTGCCCCAATCATAGAGTGCCAGTTTGGAAGGGGAAATGGTGTCAGGTTATGGAGGGCCTTGAATGCTGGCCAATGCCTTTGAACTTTACTTGAGGCAGTAGGGAGCAATGGTAGATTTGTGAGCTGAATAGGGACTAGATCTTTCTACCTAAGAATGATTATTTTGACAGGGTCATCTATGGGATGAAGGTTAGAGTGAAGGCAGGAAGACCTGCTAGTAGATCAGGTTTCTCAAGTCCAAAGATCCTTTGTGCTTATCCTGGCATCTCCAGTGCCTCCCAAAGTGGCTGCCCCAGAGGAGAAGTTGACTGAATCATTCCCGTCTCCCCAGCTGGCCCTCCCAGTCCTCCTCTTCTCTGTGCCACCACTATCTTTCCAGCTACACAGACTTGGAGTCCTCATTGCTTACTTCTTCCTCCATCCACGCAACCAGTTTCCAAGTCTTGTTGTTTCTACCATGAAATATTTGTCATATCTGTTCTCTTCTCTCTCACTGCAACTACTGCTTAAAATGTCCATTTCTTTTCTGCTAGTCTGTTGGAATACCTGGGTATCTGGGTGTCTTGCTTTCACCTGATTGTTTTTTCATTCCATTCTTCATATTGTTGTAGAGCCGGCCTGCACGACTTGCAGGATTTTGAGCAGCCTGTGAAAAATGTAGAGGATGTTTTCCTGTGGTGGGCCACAGGTTGTGCAGGCCTGTTGCAGAGTATTGTTTCTAATGTAATTGTCTGGTCATGTAACTTCTCTGTGCACAAAACCTTCAGTGGGTTTCTATTGCTTCCTGAGTAAACTAGCCACTCCCAATGCTGGCATTCAAGGCTTTTCATAGTGTGGCTCTTCTAGCCACACTTAAACCTTTTGGCTGAACTGGGCTATCCTCCAGCCTCTCTTTGTGTTTCTCCGTCTCTCGTCTCTCTGCCCTTGCTTGTGCTATCCCTGAGCAATGTTTCCCACTCCTTTTCCAGTCTCTATGGGTTGAAATTTCTCCCTCCTTTACGGTTCTGTGTCCTTCGTGCAGCCTTCCTAGACTGAAAATTACTTCTTTCTCCTCAGATTTCTGCTGCCACTTTTCCCTGGACCTCTCCATTGTACTTTACTCACTCTCTTGTATTAATATTTGTATATATACATGTGTGCCCCCAATTAGATTTCAGGTTTTTTGAAAGCAGGATCTAGGTGATCTCGTAGAACACAGAGTCTTATACACAGTAGGCACACAGTAGCGTTTGTTGAATTGATTAAGAACATTATGCTTAATGAAAATTGGAGAACATCTGTATATCATGCTTTTATGATTTGTTTTTTCATTATGTGTTTTGTTTTCATATTCTTATTTATTGCACTGAATGAAACAGCTTCTTGCTGGGATTTTAGCAGAGCCTGCTTTTCTCTCTGAGTATACTATCTTTGCTTTGGATTCCTCCAAACAACCCAAACCACAGATTGCCTGTGTGGTGAGTCCTGCCACCCCTTTCAGCACTTCCTTTGGGGAGAAGAAAAGTGTGGTAATAACAGAAGGCGAACCTAACGAATGCTGCTTAGCCCCTCTCTGAGGTGTCTTCCATTACTGGTTGCTAATCATGCGCTAAAGATCAGAGAGTAATAACTAGCTGAATGCTTATGGCTCATGGGCTGTGTGGTGTCTTTTAACATTAAAAAAAAATAACATTGCTTTTATTTTATAGACTAGAATTAAATTGTCTTGACCTCTAAATCATCTTCCATGTACAGTGTTAGTTCATTACCTAAAATTAATATGCACTGCTTGAAATCTATGTGTTTTTGATGTAGATGTTCAAGAATGCTTTCTGAAGTGATTTATGTTTTAAGGAAAAAGTGAAATACTGGGTATAAATTGATAATGTATCATAGAATCACTGAATTTGAAAGTTGGGAGGAACTTTAGCAGTCATTCAGTTCAACCCTTCCATAACATCTGGAGCAAGGGGTCTTCCAGGTTTTTCTTGGAGAACTCTAGGGAGGAGGAGCCCCTCACTTCTCAATATCCAGGTAACACCAGACTGTAGACAAGACAACATTGGAATAATTCAGTGCACCTCTTTGGAAGAGGAGTCACTTTCTGGGTTTCAAATAGCATTAAAATTCTGAAATTTCTTTTTATTATTTTTTTCCACGGGATAGTTTATTAGCATTTTGAAGTTCATGTTGTGTTTTTATGTAGGGACAAAGGGATTTTCTTTTAAACATTTTCATAATTATCTGGCAGGTTCTTAAATTTACCAGAAAAGCAAAATTTAAGGAAGATGTTTAATGTTTCTGTTTGATTAGCAATGACTGAAAACAACATTCTCTTTGTTTTCTTGTTTGCTTTTAAAGGGAAAACAGAGAATTGAGCTCTACTCCAGTAAGGAGTAAACAAACAAAAACACAACATTGATTGCTTAGAATCATGGAATCTTGTTCTAAAGTTGGAGGTTTGATATTAGTTGCTGTTACTTCTGATAGTAGCACGTCCCTCTGCCAATTTGAGTTTATTTAGTCAAGACTTGGCCTAGCACATATGGGACCAGCATGCTGATTGTTTCCTGATTTGCTTATAGATGAAGAGGCTTAGAGTGAGATTTCTCTCGACTGACTGATAAAGTTCTTTTTACTTAGGGGGCATTGCTATAAAAGAACACTGAACATTCATCATTTGTGAAAGGAAGACCAGAGAAGTGTTACAAAGTATTTTAGAGAAGTGGACACACTCATGCTCACATTGCTTCCCCCCTCCCCCCCATCCCCAGTTATTATTTTTAGGCACATCTAGAGACAATAAGTCCTAACTGCTAAACAGAAGTCTTGAACTGCTGTAATGAATAGGTTAGAATTTATCATGAACCTATTTTAAACTACAATGGTACATATTTTACAGTGGAACATATTTTAAAATACAGTGCTCAGATGATATGGAAAGTGCCTGAGAACTGCTTATTGTGGGGGCTCAGCCTCACCATTATGTTCCTCGAGTCATTGATTTGTCCAAAAAATCCTTTCCACAGAGAACAGAAAGGAGAACCTTTGGCTTAAGCTTATGTCTGTATTAGAAAATTCAGACAGAGCCAAATGTGAAGTAAAATGGGTTTGGCCCAACTCCTTCTCATCTGCCCAACTCCTGTTAATGTTTGGATAATTGTAACTTACTGTGTTCACTGTCTAGCTACCTTTTCTGATTTCCAGAATTAATGGGAAAGCCTCCAAAAATTTCCTTCCGTAAAGTCTAAAAAAACTCAAGCACAGACAAAATATATAAATATAGAACTTTGCCTTTATGAGCCAGCAGAGCTTGGAAAGTGTTTGTAATTTGGAGAACTTTTCTATAAATTTGGGTTTGTAAGATTGTCTGTGTACAAAGATCATTACTGTACTTATTTATAGATGCTAACCAGCAAAACATTTGAGCTAACCAGATTGTATTCTTTTTTTTTTTTTTTTTGGTGAGGCAATGGGGTTAAGTGACTTGCCCAGGGTCATCCAGCTAGTAAGTGACAAGTGTCTGATGCTGGATTTGAACTTAGGTCCTTCTGACTCCAAGGCCAGAGCTCTATCCACTGCACCACCTAGCTGCCCCCGGATTGTATTGTTTGGTTTTTTTTTTTGGTCTAGGCAGTGGGGTTAAGTGACTTGACCAGGGTCACACAGCTGGTGTTATGTGTCTGAGACCGTATTTGAACTCAGGTCTTCCCGAATCCAGGACTGGTACTCTCTCCACTGCACCACCTAGCTGCCCCTAGATTGTATTCTTAATGAGAAAACCAGTAGCAGGTTGGTAAATAGTCACCGTTTTTCATCTAATATACAATTTAAAAAAAGATGGAAGAGGAAACTGAATTTGTACTTTTTTCCTCAAATTTATAATTAGTCACAATAGTGATCAAATATATAGTTGAATAAATTCTTCCTTTTTAGCTGGAAACAGATTCACATATAAGAGATAATTAAAAGAGATCTTGTCTAGTTATCTGATCTACATCCCTCATCTTGCAGGTGAAGTGACTCACAAGGGTCAGACAGGTAGCTTTACCACTAGAACAAGCTGTCTTTCTGGTTTATATTCAGCTGTCATGGGAAGTACTGTCATGTGGTTAACAAAGCACTATTTTTTTTCTTTATTTTTTTTAAAGTTAATTTATTTTGATTTATCAACAATCACTTCCATATGCTTTTGAGTTTAAAATTTTTCTCCCCCTTTCTCCCCACCACCTTCGCGAAGACAGTGCACAATCTGATATAGGCTATACATATACATTCCTATTAAACATTTTCACAACTATTTTGGAAATTCTTTTGTAGGTTTCTTTGTATTTATTGCACAGCTGAGCGCATGACAGCATCCTTAGAGGTCAAGTAGTCTAATTTTACTAAGGAAATTGAGTCTCAGAGAAGATAATTGGCCTGGACAAAGCCTGAACACGTTTGAGGGAAGATTTCGAACGAGGCTCCTGCCTCCTAATTTTACTGTTGCTATACTGCATAGGCTCTCCTGATGTCATGTTTTGGAATAGACATAAGACTTCTTTATTTCTTTGTATGAATCATCTTCCTCCTCCAATATTAGTCACATCATTTAATCATGTTAAAAGAAGCCTTTTCTTAACATGACAGATAATTTTCTTTTTATTGAGGTTTAAATTGCCCACCCAAGTTGTTTTTAAGAGTCTGAGTATCCAGTGAGTGGGAGATTTGCTGGTTTATGAAGCATTTTGAATTTGTTGGGATATATGTATATATATCCCATATTAGTGTATGGAAAATGCCACTGCAGCATACAGGAGTAGGGGCTCCCCATATAACATGGTTTTCTGTTTTATTTGGCTTTTCCTCATGGCTGATGGGGTAGGTAGACCAAAGGAAGATGAAAGTTTATTCATGTGATGCTGCCTTCCAGATTTCTTTACTAGCTACTTTCTGAAGGAGGCATCTGAGTTAAGAAATTCCCTGTGATGCTTTGTGTAGTATGGTGCTCAGCCCCTTTCCTTGTTGTGCGCCCCTCATCAACTGGCTCACAAGTGAGCTCTGAAAAAGTGTTTGGTAAAATATGGAAACATTGAAGTCCAGGTTCATTACCTACTGCGTCCAAGGCGGAGCACCGCTGTGCTGTGTGGCTTTTGTTTTCATGATCATGGAGCTTAGGCAAAATTATTTCTCATTGATATATACATGTATATGTGTCATATCTCGAACTGGAATATAACAAATCAAAATATAGTTTAGTGAAAAAAATTCTTTTTTCATAAGGGAACAAGGTGAAATAGTATAAGAAATAAAACTTTCATTTAGTAACTGTACCATTTTATATATGATTTAGACTCAATGCCCAGTATTTGGGAGTACTTAAATTTCATTACAAAAAAAAAAAGACCTCTTTAGACATTTTTCAGTGTAATGCAGTTGCTAAAGTGTTATTTGATCTGGGGGCACATCGTTTCGTAGTTAAATTTCAGTCATAAGAACTGTAAAATCTTCTAGACATCGACAAGTCTTTCTTTTGTGAGTCAGTGGAAATGCTTTGCATACATAGTTTTTTTTTCCCATTAGTAATTTCTATTTCTTGTACACTGTCAGTTTCAAACTTATTTGTATAAATATTTTTCCTTTTTATTCTCTTTTTTGGTGTGGACTTAACAGCTCAAGGAAAGGTAATTTGCATTGTATATTATGATAGGTAAATGTTGACATTACCAGTATTTTCTATCATATGTATCTATCCTTTATAGTATTCTATCAAAATGATTTTTTTGCAACTTTATGTTCTTATTTTGGGCGAACAGCCTTAACAAAAGAATCAGGATGCCCATCGTGTGATAACGTGAGTGTAAAGGTTGCTCTACTAATCCCTTTATTATATATAATCTATGTTAAAAGCTGAATTTTCTAGTACTCACCACACTAGCTTTGGCTTGCATGAAAGCATTATAATTAATAATAATTAAAACAATTTTTTTTACTAAATATGTGTATTATGCTGTAGAATTTAGATGTTGTTGCTTTTACAGGTCAGAGAAATTTTTTAAATATTTTTCTTGTTTTCCTTAGCTTTCCATTTTCCTGTCTTTTTGCAGACTGCATCTAGCTACATGCCTGAGAAACCAGCTGACTGCATTAATGGAAATGAACCAGCTCCTCAGGTCTGTTCCCTTCCACTGCCTTTTAAACAGCAGCTTAAAGAGGCACAGCACTGTTGGTTTTTTTCATGGTAGACTTTGTGGAGAAAAAGGTGGTCAAATAATCAACTCCATATGTACTGTGATACTGTTAGGCTTCCATGTTAGTCTTCTGAATCATCCACAGATATAAAAGTAAAAGCTCCAATCATCCGTGATTATGAGCATCTGCAGTGGTTTCCAGGGCAACCAGGAGAGCCTGCCGCAGCTCACGTGGACTTGAATGTGATGTTGGAAGAGGAGGTGGAATCAACATGTTTTCTTGGAAAAAGCCCTAAGAACAATGAGATTGGGATTTCTGTTAAAAGACATTTTAGGGAACATACATTTTAAAATCAAAGGAAATGTCATTTTGCTTTGATTTTGATAAAAAAAAAATTAGAAAGTTTGCTTCAGCCAATTTCACCCTACTGATTTTATGTTCTCTAAGCACTCCCCTCCCCCTGCCAGAAGCTGCTCCTCCCCTTTGCAGTATTCTGATTCCTGTTGTTTCTTTCTTTGTTTCTGTATTTTTTCTCCAAAAAGGCATAAGATTTTTGCCCTTTGTTTTCTTTGAGTGATAACCTCCCCAGCATTGATTGTTTCCCCCTTCTCATATAATTATGTTCACCCTAAGATAGACTTGGGATGTTAATTAAGAGCCGGTGTTTCAGGGGAAGTGTCAGTAATGTAGAAGAACACTTACAAAGTATCTGTTAACCTGAGTTCCCTTAGCTAAAAAAGAGTAGGCTACCTCACCGTTTTTATGGCACATTGCAGGTATTTAATGTTAACACTTGAATATCCTGTGTGTAAAATGACAGGAGAGATTGAAAAGCCCTTGAACAATAAGATTCAAAAAACCTTAAATAGTTAGCCCTAAATGAATACAAGGCAGTGCCAACCAATAATGTTGTGGTTGTTTAGAAGAGATTTAGTTGAAGTGAAGAGAGATGGTTTTTGGTATAAGAAAAGCTCACTTTTGGCGAACTCAGCTCTCTGGCAAGCAGCGGTTGCTGAGCACCCCAGATCTCTGCCACAGTCTCTACAATAAACTCATGTACTTTATTGATAGAGAGACCCTTTAGGCCCTTACCCAGTGCCTGTGTGCAGCAGCATAACAGATAAAATAGGACTGATTAAAAGCTACAGGTGAAAGTGGACAGTCTTCTATAGGCAGGCAGAAACAATTTTGAAAAGACATTTTAGTGAGGATACATTTTAAAACCAAAGGAAATTTCTGGTTCTTTGATTTGGGTAAAAAAAAGAGAAAGTTTGCTTCAGCCATTTTCATCCTATTGATTTTCTGGTCTCTACTGCCTCCCCTCTCCTTGCCAGAAGCTGCTCCTCCCCTTTGCAGTATTCTGATTCCTGATCTTTCTTTCTTTCTTTCTTTCTTTCTTTCTTTCTTTCTTTCTTTCTTTCTTTCTTTCTTTCTTTCTTCCTTCCTTCCTTCCTTCCTTCCTTCCTTCCTTCCTTCCTTCCTTCCTTCTTCCTTCCTTCCTTCCTTCCTTCCTTCCTTCCTTCTTTCTTTCTTTCTTTCTTTCTTTCTTTCTTTCTTTCTTTCTTTCTTTCTTTCTTTCTTTCTTTCTTTCTTTCTTTCTTTCTTTCTTTCTCCCTGCCTTCCTGCCTTCCTTCATTTCTGCCTTCCTGCCTTCCTTCTTTCTTTTTTCAAAAAGGCATAATATTTTTGGCCTTTGTTTTCTTTGACTGATAACCTCCCTAGTCTTGATTGTTTCTCCCTTCTCATATAATGGGGAGCAGCAATATCTTCACCCTAAGGTTGACTTGGGATGTTAATTAAGAGCTGGTGTTTGAGGTCAGATGTTAGTAATGCAGAAGAACACTTATGAGGTATCTCTTTGCATGAATTCCCTTAGATAAAGACTAGGCTGCCTCAAAGTTTTTCTGACACATTTCAAGTATTTAATGTTTAACACTTGATTATCCTGTGTATAAAATGACAGGAGAGATAGAAAAGAGCTTGAACAAGAAGATTCAAAAAATCTTGAATAATTTGCCCTAAAAGAATAAAATGCAGTGCCAGCCAATAATGTTGTGGTTGTTTAGAAGAGATTAGGTTGAAGTGAAGAGAGATGGTTTTTGGTATAATAAAAGGACTCTTTTGCAGAACTCGGCTTTCTGGCAAGCAGCTGGTGCTGAACAGCCTAGATCTCTGCCAGTCTCTACAATAAGTTCATGTACTTTATTGTTGGGGAGACCCTTTAGGTCCTCACTCAGTGCCTGTGTGCAACAGCATAACAGATAAAATAGGACTGATTGAAAGCTACAAGTGAAAGTTGAGAGTCTTATATGTGCAGGGAGAAATAATATTGAAAAGACCTTTTAGTGAAGATACATTTTTAAACGAAAGAAAATTTCCGTTTCTTTGATTTTGGTAAAAAAAAAATTTTAGAAAATTTGCTTTAGCCATTTTCATCCTATTGATTTTCTGTTCTCTACTGCCTCCCCTCTCCTTGCCAGAAGCTGCTTCTCCCCTTTGCAGTATTCTGATTCCTGATGTTTCTTTCTTCCTTTTTTCTGGTTTTTTTTTCAAAAAGGCATAAGATTTTTGCCCTTTGTTTTCTTTGAGTGATATCCTCACTAGCCTTGATTGTTTCCCCCCTTCTCTTACAATGGGGGGTAATAGTATGTTCACCCTAAGATAGACTTGGGATATTAATTAAGAGCTGGTGTTTGAGGGGAAATGTTAGTAACGTAGAACACTTATAAGGTGTCTCTTTACTTGAATTTGCTTAGCTGAAAAAGGCTAGGCTAGTTCACAGTTTTTCTGGCACATTGCAGGTATTTAATATTTAACACTTGATTATCCTGTGTATAAAATGACAGGAGAGATAGAAAAGCCCTTGAACAATAAGATTCAAAAAATCTTGAATAAGTAGCCCTAAATGAATACAAGGCAGTGCCAACCAATAATATTGTGGTTGTTTCGAAGAGATTTAGGGGAAGTGGACAGAGATGCTTTTTGGCATAATAAAAGCATACTTTTCCAAGACTCAGCTGTCTGACAAAAAGCTGTTGCTGAACAGTGCAGATCTCTGCCAGTCTCTACAATAAGTTTATGTCCTCTATTGATACGGAAGGGAGACCCTTTAGGCTCTTACCCAGTGTCTGTGGGTAACAGTATAAGAGATAAAATAAAATAGATTAAAAGCTACAGGTGAAAGTGGGCAGTGTTCTATAGGCAGGCAGAAGTAATTTTGAAAAGACATTTTAGTGAGAATTCATTTCAAAAGCAAAGGAAATTTGTTTCTTTGATTTTGATAAAAAAAAAATGCAGAAAGTTTGCTTCAGCCATTTTAAGCCTGTTGATTTTCTGTTCTCTATTCCTTTCCTTCTCCTTGCCAGAAGCTGCTCCTCCCCTTTGCAGTATTCTGATTCCTGTTGTTTCTTCCTTTGTTTCTGTATTTTTTTCCAAAAATGCATGAGATTTTTGCCCTTTGTTGTCTTTGAATAATAACCTCACTACCCCTTATTGTTTCCCCCTTCTCATATAATGGGGAGCAGCAGTATGTTCACCCCAGTATACACTTGTAATGTTAATTATTAGCTGGTGCTTGAAGGGAAGTGTTAGTAATATAGAAGAACACTTATAAGGTATCTGTTTACCTGAATTCCCTTAGGTAAAAAAGAGTAGGCTACCTCACAGTTTGTTCGGCACATTTTGGTATTTAATGCTTAACACTTGATTATCCTGTGTATAAAATGACAGGAGAGATAGAAAAGTGCTTGAAAAATAAGATTAAAAAAATCTAGAATAGTTAACCCTAAACGAATACAAGGCACTGCCAACCCAGAATGTTGTGCTTGTTTAGAAGAGATTTAGTGGAAGTGAAGAGAGATGGTTTTTGGTATAATAAAAGCTCACTTTTGCAGAACGCAGCTCTCTGGAAATGAGGTGCTGCTGAACAGCCCAGATCTCTGTCACAGTCTCTACAACAAGCTCATATACTTTACAGATAGAGAGACCCTTGAGGCCCTTGCCCAGTGTCTGTGTGCAACAGCATAACAGATAAAATAGGACTGATTAAAAGCTACAGGTTAAAGTTGAGAGTCTTATATAGGTAGGTAGAAATAATATTGGAAAGACCTTTTAATGAAGATAAATTTTAAATGAAAGAAAATTTCTGCTTCTTTGATTTTGGTAAAAAGAAATGTTTTTAGAAAATTTGCTTTAGCCATTTTAATGGTATTGATTTTCTAGTCTCTACTGCCTCCCCTCTCCTTGCCAGAAGCTGCTCCTCCCCTTTGTAGTATTCTGATTCCTGATGTTTCTTTCTTTGTTTCTTTCTGTTTTTTTTTTTCAAAAAGGGATAAGATTTTTGGCCTTTGTTTTCTTTGAGTGATAACCTCACTAACCTTGATTGTTTCTCCCCTTCTCTTATAATGGGGAGTAATAGTATGTTCACCCTAAGATAGACTTGGGATGTTAATTAAGAGCTGGTGTTTGAGGGGAAATGTTAATAATGTAGAAGAACACTTATAAGGTATCTGTTTACCTGAGTTTACTTGGATAAAAAAGGCTAGGCTATCTCACAGTTTTTCTGGCACGTTGCAGGTATTTAATATTTAACACTTGATTATCCTGTGTATAAAATGACAGGAGAGATAGAAAAGCCCTTGAACAATAAGATTCAAAAAATCTTGAATAAGTAGCCCTAAATGAATACAAGGCAGTGCCAACCAGTAATGTTGTGGTTGTTTAGAAGGGATTTTGTTGAAGTGAAGAGATATAGTTTTTGGTATAATAAAAGCACACTTTTGGAGAAGTCAGTTCTCTGGCAAGCAGCTGTTGCTGAACAGTCCAGATCCCTGTCAAAGTCTCTACAATAACCTCATATACTTTATAGATAGAGATCCTTTAGGCCCTTACCTAGTACCTGTGGTATGGTATAGTATAGTATAGACCAGATCAAAAGCTACAGGTAAAAGTTGAGTGTCTTCCATGGGCAGGTAGAAATAAGTTTGAAAAGATATTTTAGTGAGGATTCATTTAAAACCATAGGAAATTTCTGTTTCTTTCACTGTGATAAAAAAAATGCAAAGATTTGCTTCAGCCATTTTCAGCCTGTTGATTTTCTGTTCCCTACTACCTCCCATCTCTTTGCCAGAAGATGCTCCTCCCCTTTGCAGTATTCTGATTCCTGATGTTTCTTTCTTTCTGTTTTTTTTTCCCCCCAAAAAATATAAGATTTTTGGCATTTGTTTTCTTTGAGTGATAACCTCCCTGGGCTTGATTGTTTCCCCCTTCTCATACAATGGGGTGCAGTAGTATGTTCACCCTAATATAGACTTGAGATATTAATTAAGAGCTGGTGTTTCAGGGGAAATGTTAGTAATGTACAAGAACACTTATAGGGTATCTGTTTACCTGAATTTCCTTAGCTAAAAATGACTAGGCAACCCCACAGGTTTTCTGGCACGTTTCAGGTATTTAATGTTTAACATTTGAATATCATGTGTATAAAATGAGAGGAGAGATAGAAAAGCCCTTGAACAATAATATTCAAAAAATCTACAAGAAGTAGCCCTAAATGAATACAAGGCAATGCCAACCAGTAATATTGTGGTTGTTTAGAAGAGATTGAGTGGAAGTGAACTGAGATGGTTTTTGGTATAATAAAAGCACTTTTTTTCCAGAACTTAGCCCTCTGGGAAGCAGCTGTTCTTGAACAACCCAGATCTCTGCTAGTCTCTACAGTAAGTTCATGTACTTTATTGATAGGATGACCCTTTAGGCCCCTACCCAGTTCCTATGTACAATAGCATAACAGATAAAATAGGACTGATGAAAAGCTACAGGTGAAAGTTGCGAGTCTTGTATAGGCAGGCAGAGATAGTATTCAAAAGATATTTTAGTGAAGATACATTTTTAAACCAAAGGCAAGTTCTGTTTCTTTGATTTTGGTAAAAAAAATTTTTTGAAAATTTGCTTTAGCCATTTTCATCCTATTGATTTTCTGGTCTCTACTGCCTCCCCTCTCCTTGCCAGAAGCTGCTCCTCCCCTTTGCAGTATTCTGATTCCTGTTGTTTCTTTTTTTTTCTCTATTTTTTTCCGATAAGACATAAGATTTTTGCCTTTGTTTCTTTAAGTGATAACCTCACTAGCCTTGATTGTTTCCCCCTTCTCATATAATGGGGTACAGCAATATGTTCACCCTAATATACACTTGAAATGTTAATTAAGAGCTGGTGTTTGAGGGGAAGTGGTAGTAATATAGAAGAACACTTATTAAGGTATCTGTTTACCTGAATTCCATAAGCTAAGAAAGACTAGGCTACCTCACACTTTGTCTGGCACACTGCAGGAATTTAATGTTTATCACTTGATTATCCTGTGTATAAAATGATAGGAGAGATAGAAAAGCACTTGAAAAATACGATTAAAAAAATCTTGAATAGTTAAGCCTTAAATGAATACAAGGCAGTGCCAACCCAGAATGTCATGCTTGTTTAGAAGGGATTTAGTGGAAGTGAAGACACGGTTTTTGGTATAAGAAAAGCTCACTTTTGCAGAACTCAGCTCTCTGGCAAGCACTGTGGCTGAAAATCCCACATCTTTGTCACAGTCTCTACAATAAACTGATACACTTTTTTGATAGGGGGACCCTTGAGGCCCTTGCCGAATGCCTGTGTGCATCAGAATAACAGATAAAATAGGACTGATTAAAAGGTACAGGTGAAAGTTGAGAGTCTTGTGTAGGCAGGTAGAAATAATATTGAAAAAACATGTTAATGAAGATACATTTTTCAACCAAAGGCAATTTGTGTTTTCTTTGATGTTGGAAAAAAAATTTTAGAAAATTTGCTTTAGCCATTTTCATTCTATTGATTGAGTTTCTGGTCTCTACTGCCTCCACTCTCCTTGCCAGAAGCTGCTCCTCCCCTTTGCATTGTTCTGATTCATGATCTTTCTCTTTCTTTCTTTCTTTCTTTCTTTCTTTCTTTCTTTCTTTCTTTCTTTCTTTCTTTCTTTCTTTCTTTCTCTCTCTCTCTCTCTCTCTTTCTTTCTCTCTCTCTTTCTTTCTTCTCTCTTCTTTCTTTCTTTCTTTCTTTCTTTCTTTCTTTCTTTCTTTCTTCTTTCTTTTTCTTTCTTTCTTTCTTTCTTTCTTTCTTTCTTTCTTTTCTTCTATGTTTTGTTTTCAAAAAGGCAGAAGATTTTTGCCCTTTGTTTTCGTTAAGTGATAACCTGAGTAGCCTTGATTGTTTCCCCCTTCTCATATAATGTGTAGTAGCAGTATGCTCACCCTAATATCGACTTGAGATGGTAATTAAGAGCCGGTGTTTCAAGGGAAATGTTAGTAATGTAAAAGAACACTTATAAGGTATCTCTTTACCTGAATTCCCTTAGCTAAAAAAGAGTAGTCTACCTCACAGTGTGTCTGGCCCAGTGTAGGTATTTAATGTTTAACAATTGATTATCCTGTGGAAAATATGAGAGGAGAGATGGAAAAGCACTTGAACAATAAGATTCAAGAAATCTTGAATAATTAGCCCTAAATGAATAGAAGACAGTGCCGACCAATAATGTTGGGGTTGTTTAGAAGAGATTTAGTTGACGTGAAGAGAGATGGTTTTTGGTATAAGAAAAGCTAAGTTTTGCAGAACGCAGCTCTCTGGCAACCAGCTGTGGCTGAAAAGCCCAGATATCTGTCACAGTCTCTACAATAAACCAATGTACTTTATTGATAGGGAGACCATTTAGGCCCTTACCCAGTGCCTGTGGGTAACAGCATAACAGATACGATACAACAGATCAAAGGGTACAGGTGAAAGTTGAGAGTCTTCTGTACACAAGAAAAAATATTACTGAGAAGACGTTTTAGTGAGGATACTTTTAAAAGCAAAATAAATTTCTCTTTCTTTCATTGTTATAGAAAAAAATGTGAAAATTTGCTTCAGCCATTTTCAGCCTGTTGATTTTCTGTGCCCTACTGCCTCCCCTCTCCTTGCCAGAAGCTGCTCCTCCCCTTTGCAGTATTCTGATTCCTGATGTTTCTTTCTTTTTTTTCTGTATTTTTTTCCAAAAAGGCATAAGATTTTTGGCCTTTTTTTCTTTGAATGATAACCTCCCTAGCCTTGATTGTTTCCCCTTTCTCATATAATGGGGTGCAGCAATATGTTCACCCTAATATAGACTTAAAATGTTAATTAAGAGCTGGTGTTTGGGGGGGAAGTAGTAGTAATGTAGAAGAACACTTATAAGGTGTCTGTTTACCTGAATTCCCCTACCTAAGAAAGACTAGGCTACCTCACAGTTTTTCTGGCACATTGCAGGTATTTAATGTTTATCACTTGATCATCTTGTGTATAAAATGACAGAAGAGATAGAAAAACAGTTGAAAAATAAGATTCAAAAAGTCTTGAATAGTTATCCCGAAATGAATACAAGGCAGTGCCAACCCAGAATGTCATGCTTGTTTAGAAGGGATTTAGTGGAAGTGAAGACACGGTTTTTGGTATAAGAAAAGCTCACTTTTGCAGAATGCAGCTCTCTGGCAACCAGGTACTGCTGAACAGCCCAGATCTCTGTCACAGTCTCTACAATAAGCTCATGTGCTTTATAGATAGAGCTACCCTTGAGGCCATTACCCAGTGCCTGTGGGTAAGAGCAAAATAGATGCAATAGAATAGATCAAAAGCTTCAGGTGAAAGTTGAGAGTCTTCCATAGGCAGGTAGAAATATTTTGAAAAGACATTTTAGTGAGAATACATTTTATAAAACCAAAGGAACTTTCTCTTTCTTTTATTTTGACAAAAAAAAAAGGAAAATTTGCTTCAGCCATTTTCAGCCTGTTGATTTTCTGTTCCCTACTGCCTCCCTTCTCCTTGCTAGAAGCTGCTCCTCCCTTTTGCAGTATTGTGATTCCTGATCTTTCTTTGTTTCTGTGTTTTTTTCCAAAAAAGCATCAGATTTTTGGTGTTTGTTTTCTTTGAGTGATAACCTCACTACCCTTGATTGTTTGCCCCTTCTCATATAATGGGGAGCAGCAGTATGTTCACCCCAGTATACACTTGGAAAGTTAATGAAGAGCTGGTGCTTGAGGGGAAGTGTTAGTAATGTGGAAGAACACTTATAAGGTAGCTGTTTACCTGAATTCCCTTAGTTAAAAAAGAGTATTCTACCGCACAGTTTGTGTGGTCCAGTGTAGGTATTTAATGTTGAACAGTTGCTTATACTGTGGAAAACATGACAAGAGAGGTAGAAAAGCACTTGAATAAGATTCAAAAAATCTTCAATAGTTAGCCCTAAATGAATACAAGGCAGTGCCAAGCAGTAATGTTTTGGTTGTTCAGAAGAGATTCATTTGAAGTGAATAGAGATGGTTTTTGGTGTAATAAAAGCACTGATTTCCAGAACTCAGCTGTTTGGCAAGCAGGTGTTGCTGAACAGCCCAGATGGCTGCCAGTCTCTACAATAAGTTCATGTAGTTTATTAATAGGGAGACCTTTTAGGCCCTTACCCAGTACCTGTGTGCAACAGCATAATAGATAAAATAGGACTGATTAAAAGCTACAGGTGAAAGTTGAGAGTCTCATATGGTCAGGGAGAAATAATATTGGAAAGACCTTTTATTGAAGATACATTTTTAAATGAAAGAAAATTCCTGCTCCTTTGATTTTGGTAAAAAAAAATTTAGAAAATTTGCTTTAGCCATTTTCATCCTATTGATTTTCTGTTCTCTACTGCCTCCCCCCTCCTTGACAGAAGGTGCTCCTCCCCTTTGCAGTATTCTGATTCCTGATGTTTCTTTCTTTGTTTCTTTCTGTTTTTTTTTTCCAAAAAGGCATAAGGTTTTTGGCCTTTGTTTTCTTTAAGTGATATCCTCACTAGCCTTGATTGTTTCCCCACTTCTCTTATAGCGGGGAGTGGTAGTATGTTCACCCTAAGATAGACTTCGGACGTTAATTAAGAGCTGGTGTTTGAGGGGAAATGTTAGTAATGTAGAGGAATACTTGTAAGGTGTCTGTTTACCTCAGTTTGCTTAGCTAATAAAGACTAGGCTGCCTCACAGTTTGTCTGGCACATTGCAGGTATTTAATGTTTAACACTTGATTATCCTGTGTATAAAATGACAGGAGAGATAGAAAAGTGCTTGAACAATAAGATTTAAAAAACCTTAAATAGTTAGCCCTAAATGAATACAAGGCAGTGCCAACCAATAATGTTGTGGTTGTTTAGAAGAGATTTAGTTGAAGTGAAGAGAGATGGTTTTTGGTATAAGAAAAGCTCACTCTTGGAGAACTCAGTTCTCTGGCAAGCAGCTGTTGCTTAACAGCACAGATTTCTGTCACAGTCTCTACAATAACCTCATGTACTTCATAGATAGAGAGACCCTTTAGGCCCTTACCTAGTACCTGTGGGTGAGAGCATCATAGATAGTACAGAATAGATCAGAAGCTACAGGTGAAAGTTGAGTGTCTTCCATAGGCAGGTAGAAATAATTTTGAAAAGATATTTTAGTGAGGATACATTTAAAACCAAAGGAAATTTCTGTTTATTTCATTGTGATTAAAAAAATGCAAAAATTTGCTTCAGCCATGTTCAGCTTGTTGACTTTCTGTTTCCTACTGCGTCCCCTCTCCTTGCCAGAAGCTGCTCCTCCCCTTTGCAGTATTCTGATTCCTGATGTTTCTTTCTTTCTGTTTTCTCCCCCCAAAATATAAGATTTTTGGCATTTGTTTTCTTTGAGTGATA